TATTTGGGGCACTTATATGTGTTATTTAATTAGGGGTGGGTTTTGGGGGTGTGAGCGCCGGTTCTAGCATGGTGGGATTAGTTGCTTATAATTTTAGAAAATTTTTAGCGTTTTTAGTTTTTCAATATCCGAACAAGTTCACTTTATTTGGGGCACTTATATGTGTAATTTAATTAGGGGTGGGTTTTGGGGGTGTGAGCGCCGGTTCTAGCATGGTGGGATTAGTTGCTTATAATTTTAGAAAATTTATTGCGTTTTTAGTTTTCCATTATCCGAACAAGTTCCCTTGATTTGGGGCACTTAAAAGTGTAATTTAATTAGGGGTGGGTTTTGGGGGTGTGAGCGCCGGTTCTAACCTGGTGGGATTAGTTGCTTATAATTTTAGAAAATTTTTAGCGTTTTTAGTTTTCCAATATCCGAACAAGTTCACTTTATTTGGGGCACTTATATGTGTTATTTAATTAGGGGTGGGTTTTGGGGGTGTGAGCGCCGGTTCTAGCATGGTGGGATTAGTTGCTTATAATTTTAGAAATTTTTTAGCGTTTTTAGTTTTCCAATATCCGAACAAGTTCACTTTATTTGGGGCACTTATATGTGTAATTTAATTAGGGGTGGGTTTTGGGGGTGTGAGCGCCGGTTCTAGCATGGTGGGATTAGTTGCTTATAATTTTAGAAATTTTTTAGCGTTTTTAGTTTTCCAATATCCGAACAAGTTCACTTTATTTGGGGCACTTATATGTGTAATTTAATTAGGGGTGGGTTTTGGGGGTGTGAGCGCCGGTTCTAGCATGGTGGGATTAGTTGCTTATAATTTTAGAAATTTTTTAGCGTTTTTAGTTTTCCAATATCCGAACAAGTTCACTTTATTTGGGGCACTTATATGTGTTATTTAATTAGGGGTGGGTTTTGGGGGTGTGAGCGCCGGTTCTAGCATGGTGGGATTAGTTGCTTATAATTTTAGAAAATTTTTTGCGTTTCTAGTTTTCCAATATCTGAACAAGTTCTCTTGATTTGGATAATTCTTATTATTACCTATATGTGGTATTTACATAGGGGTTGTTTTGCACCCCGAATATTAAAATTTTTGTAATTTTTTGATTGATATTTGTTTTATTTACTATTCTGAATAAGATTATTGAAAAAAGTTCCTTATATTTAAAAAAAAAAATTTCGTTCAAATGAACGTTCGGAACTTTAGGGTCCTAATAATTGAATTTATTTATTTATTTATTTAGGAAGCATACGGGCATAAAGCCCTTTTGTTTCTAATTTTAAAAATTTAGAACGAAATAATTCAGAGAATTACTTTTTTCAAAACTATTTTAATATTATTTTTAGAATATAATTTTCATTAATTTTCATTTTTATTCAATTTACACTTGAAGATTATTCATTAAAATTTTTGAGAATTCAATTATTTCCAAAATTTTCAATTAAAATTCTTTAAAAGTTAATTTTCAAAAATTGTAATAAAATACTTGAAAAAATTATTTATTATCAATTAAATTTTGTAAAATTTCAATTATTCAAAATCTCTTTAATTGTATATTTCAAAAATTGAATTAGAAAATTTATTCAAAAATAAATTATCAAAGATCTGTCTATAGTTGTGCTTTTTACATTATAAAAATCAAAATAAGTTGAATTTTATATTAAAAATATGGTATTTTGTCGCATTTATAAGAAAAGTCGAAAAAGTCGCAATTTTTTAATATAAGTCGATAAAAGTCGCATTATTTGAAAATAGTCGAAAAAGTCATAATATCCAAGGCCTGATGTTATTATTATTTCGAAATTCTTTTTTTTTGAATAATTAAATTTTTATTTCAGTAATTTTGTTCTATTATAAAAAAATTAATTTTAAAGTTTCTGAATGTAAAATTTATATTATTAATTTGTATTACAATAAACCGAAAAAAAATTTATTTGATTCAAATAACCTATTACTTGACTGTTATCAATTAAATATTTACTGGAATCAAATAATATTTATTGTAGTCAATGAAATGGTATTTGAACCAATAATTTCAGTATTTGAAGCAAATATTATTTGACTCCAATAAATATTATTTGATTCTAGTAAATATTTAATTGATAATAGTCAAGTAATTGGTTATTTGAATCAAATAAAATTTTTTTCCAAGTGTATTAATTTAATAAAATATTTTAATAACAACTATTTCGTACATCTGAACATTCAAAACTTCACAGTTTTTCTAAGAATATTAAATTGAGGAGTTTTCAAACCAAATTTTTTTCATTAATTCAAAACTTTAGAAAAATAGATAACAAAATTTTAACTTGGAAATAAACTCTTTGAAATAAATTCTTCTAATTGAATTTTTTAATAAAAAAAAAAATGCTCTTTTTTTAAACAGTTATTTGGGTCTATATGCAAAAATATTCTTAAAAGTTTTAGTACGAGAAAGTTTTTCATTTAAAAATTCATAACTTTTAAAACTTTGATCTAAAATGATCCTGTGACTTAATAGTTGTATAAGAATAATCCAAAAAGTATGTACATTATTAATAATTATTGTAAAAGTAGTTTCTAGAACCACAAAAATTTTTTAATTAATTTTTCTTTTTAAAAAACTTAATATCGCGGTGACAACTCAAAATTTTATATTCTAAATTGAAAATAATTAAAAATGTATATAATAAAATAAACAAAATTTTCAATCATATTTTCAAAATAGTACTCCAAAAGAAATTTTTTTTGAATCTTTAAATAAAGGTAAAAATTTTATTAAATTACTAAGTTTTATTACTTTATAAATTTTCTAAACCTCTTTAATAATAATTTGAATTAGTGACTGACTTTTTGATTTTGAATTAGTAAATTTGACTAATAGATAGTAATTTCTATATTGATTTACTAGTAAAATATATTTTCCCCCACTCAACTTTAATATTTACTATTTTTAAATTCTTGTTCATTAATATAAAGTTACTAATTTGTTAGTAAATAATTATAAAAAAAATTATAAAAAGCCAAAATTAAATTTCATCAAACTATTTTACACATAGAGAGTAGAAAATAGAGCCGCAACTAATGGTAATAAGTACTTGTAATGAAGTACTTGTTAGTAACTCGTAAATAACTACCTGCAACTATACTTGTAAGTGATTAGGGTTAAAATAGTTTTCATCAAAAGAAAACTAGAAAGAAAAAAAATCTCACGAAATATTTATCCCTTTTATATAGTCAAATTAAGAAACACTCTTTTTTTATCAAATTCCTCAAAAAGTATTAAAAATAGAAAATGTATGAAATTTTCCAACTCAAAAAAACAAATAACTATATCTTCCGATGTATGAAAACAAATAAAATCTAAATAAAAATATTTCATTGCAGGAATATATCAATGATAAAAAATCTAATCTAAAACCTTAACATTTTTTTCAAAATCAAGCAAACATTTGTTCAAGTTTTAATATTTATACGTGTACGAGATTGACCTATATCAAATAACAATTTTTTTTTTCTTTTATTCTTTTTGGAAAAAATATTACTTTCTCTACGCCCACAAAGTCTGAATAACAAATTTGAATATATTTATAAACGTTTTATTGATTTTAAAATTTTAAATAAGTAGTTTTAATTTAATTTCTGCCAGGGAAAAAATTAATAAAGTAACTTTTACTACTGTTTACAGAATGTAAAATATGAACTGTCTGCCCAAACTTTTAACATCTTTAGAGTAAATTTTACGATTTGCAAAGTAAAATTAACTTCGAAAATATAGAAAAAGTTGCTACTGAAATGTGTAGAAATTCCAAATATTTTTTTTGCTCCGCAAGTTGTAAAAGTTCATTTTTCCCCATGTACATAATATTATTATCAATAAAATAAAAATAAACGTTTCCCTTTAATTTAAAAAATTTAAATATTATTTAAAATAATTTAATCAAGTGTTATTTAAAGTAAAAATGATTGATTATGATATTAATTGATAATAATGAAAAAAAATATAAATTTTGTAATAACGAAGGCTTATTTTTAATTACTTATAATAATCTTTTCAAAATAAATATTTTTATAAAAAACTAATAAATATTTTACATTTATTTGCATTTTCAAGCATTTTAATTTATTTTATTTTAATTTGATTTAATTAATCTAGCATTTTCTAGCCATACAAAATTTTGATAATTCAACAAAAATATAAAGTCAAAATTCCATTAGATTGTATCAAAATTAAAATTAAATTGGATTAAAATTTCTATTTGCAATTAAAATTTAAATTCCAAATAAAATCAGAATTTCTATTTGATATTCAAATTACAATTTAGAATAAACATTTTTATTTGAAATTCAAATTTAAATTCCAAATTAAATCAAAATTTCCATTTCAAATTCAAATTATAACTAAAAATAAAAATTTATTTTTCAAAGTAAAATTAAAATTACAAATAAAATAAAAGTTTTTACTTGAAATTCAAATTACAACTAAAAATAAAAATTAATCTTTTGGAAATTAATATTAAAATTCCAATTAAAATAAAAATTTCTATTTGAAATTAAAAGTTTAATTAAAATTATTATTTCAATAAAAATTAGAAACAAATTTAATAAGCAAACTAAGAAAATTAGTTACCTAATAATAAAAAAATTCCACTCCAGCAAAATTATAAATGCATTTAGAGGTCAAATTCATTATAGAGAATGTGTAAAATTAAAGAGAAAATTTCAAAATTTACACATATATACATATTTCATGACGTTTTTACCGCATGGAAATAGGAGCTGTAAAATATTTTATCGATAATACAATTTTATTATTACGTCAAATAAGCTTAAAAAACGTAATAATAATTTTCCATCAAAATATGTTGTTTTCCCTAAACACAAACACACACACACATTTTCTTTTAAACTGTGTATGTAAATTTATAAGCGTGTTCGCAATTATTAAAAAAAAAAGTAGATTGTCAATGTCATTATCAAATATTTAAGAAAAATATAAAAAAAATTTTAATATTACTTCACCGCTCACCTTGGAAGAGGAGGCCACTCAGCATCTGTGGTGGTTGTAGGAGCTGACGTACTTTTATTGGGAAGACTTAATCTTGGTCCAATGCGCAAAGTCATGGGACGCCTTCTTCGTAAAGTATAATCTAAATCAACAATGAAAAAAAATTTTTATTTATCTTCAACTTTAAGCGTTTTGCGAATTATTAAAATTAGAAAACTCATAATGAGAAAAATGTACCACGATAATTGAAGAGGAAGAGAGAAATTTTCTTATCTAATAAAAAATAAATTGTACGCCATATATAATTATATATTGTCTTTACTTCCGCTATTCTATTTATCCCTCTCACTCTCTTTCTTTTTTCTCTCCTGTTAAAAATTAAAATAAAAAAAAAAATAATTGAAAAAACTTTTTTAAATTTTTTATTTTCTTAATCTGCAAATTTTAATTCAATTTTGTTCGCTTTTCATTTAGAATTAAAAGAAAGAAAAAAATAGAGATAAACTGAAAAAACACATTAAGAGAAAGAAGAAATTATATTTAGATAAAGTGAAAAAAATTATTTTCTATAAATATTTATTTTATGTTTTTCTTTTATATATTATATGCTTTTCTCAGTTTGATCGATAAAGGAACAAAAAAGAGCGTTCTTTTTTTGTCACAAATATTTTATTGTTGAAACAAAAATATTTTTATCACAATAAAATTTTATTGGACAAAAAAAATTTATACGGCTGTAACTATATATAATCGATTGAAATTACCATCGATTGTGTGTATATAAGTATATAGTGGCTGCACTGTTGTATTTTAAATGAATGAAGTAGATAAAGCAAATATATGCGGTCCAGACACGTGGTTATCAATGTTTTATTCGAACGAGTTTTTAAAGCACCGATAAGCTCCTCAGATCTGCTGATTTTCAATCATAAAATTATAGAAATCAGCAATTTTTTATTACTACTATTATTCCTACATTATTATTATTATTATTATTATCACTGTTATTATTTTATTAAGTACTACCATTTGTTTACAATATTTTATCAACAAATTTTTAAATAATTCAATTCTTTCGACGAATTTTAAAAAAATTTTTAAGAAAAATAATTACATTTTTCGAGAAATTTGATTAAAATTGCATGAAAAATAATTGAAATTATGCGATAAGTTATTTATTATTTGTGAAAATAATTGAATCCCTAAGAAGTATTATTTTTTAACAATATTTAATTTTTGCGAAGAATATTATTACTCTTGAAAATAATTTAATTTCTGCAATAATTTTTAACTTTTCCAAAATTAAATTTTTTTTCTTGTTTTTAATTAAAATTCTTCTGTAAATGCATTATTTTTAATAATTTTTGAAAAAGTTCTTTGAGAATTTTCAAATTCATTTGTTTACAATTCAATTTTACAAAATTTCAATTATTCGTAAATTCTTCAATTAAATATAAATATATTAGAAAATAAAAACTTCAAATAATTTAAAAAAAAAATCCACAATTAAACTGTTTCAAAAAAATTAAATCTGCAGAATTGTTAGTTAAAAGAATGAAAAATTCAGATTTTCAAAAATTTTAATTTGAAACCTTTTCAAAATTCAATTGTTTCTAAAAATACACGCTCTAATGGTTTTAATATTCAATTATAATCTAAAATTTTAACTGGAATCCATTTTTAAATCAATTATTATTAGAAAATTCTACTAGAATTCAATTATTTAAATACATAAAAAACAATTTATTGAAGAATTGTGTTTCTTAAATATGAATTCTCATAAAGAATTTTATCAATAAATTTTTAAATAATTGAATTCTATGAGGCTTTCGAAGAATTTTAATAAAATTTTTAAGAATACCAAAAAGAATTCAAAACATTACCCAAAAATACAAGAAGTACCCAAAAAATACAAAATACCCAAAAATGCAAAAAGTACCTACCAAAAAATGCAAAATAATACACAAAAATAAATAATTAAAAAACAGGGTTACAACAAAAATTTAATTTTGTTTCTCCCTAACTTTTTCCTGATTTACAGACAAAATTTATTTACGAATTTCTCGAATTGTAAAATTATTCAAAAGCAACAATAATTTCTTCTTTAAATCAATTATTTTTAATAATTTTTGAAAAAGTTCTTTGAGAATTTTCAATTTTATTTGTTTATAATTCAATTTTACACAGAATTACGTTTATTCGGAAATTCTTCAATTAATTATATATTACAAAATAAAAACATGAAATAATTTTTAACAAAATTGAGTTAAACTTTTTAAAAAAAATTAATTCTGCAGAATTGTTAGTTAAAAGTATGAAAAATTCAGATTTTCAAAGATATTAATTTGAAACCTTTTCAAAATTAAATTATTTCTAAAAATTTACTCTGTTATGCTTTTAACAATAATTATCTAAAATTTTAACTAAAATCCATTTTTTAATCTTGATACTAGCGTCATATTCCTCGCTCGGAAGACATTTTACTTATTTATTTCGACTTACATAAATAGTTTTTGAGGTAAAAATTTTGTTTAAAAAATTTTTAACGTCAAAAACTCTCCTGATTAAGCTAATTTTGTTTAAAAAAATCTTTAACTTCAAAAACGATCCTTATACCTCATACAGTATGAATGCAGGCTAATTGTTTATAACATTTTTACACCAATAGGTCTTTTTTAAAAAATTATGTAATATATGTTTTCGTAGTGGTTTTTAGCGTAGAATCAAATAGCGCTTTAAGTTTCTTATAAAAATCGACTTCTCTTCATTTGTTTATAAAAAAAAATTGTTAAAAAAAATATTTTTTTAACATTCAACGACAAAAATTATCATTAGATCCCATGCCAGGATTCCAATAGTTACTTTTTTTATATCTGCATTCCTTTGCCTATATAGGCATCAATGGGTTAATGTAAAAAATCTTTTCCTTAAAGCATTTTTTCAGTTAGTAGAAAATAAATTTGACACAATAACGTTTGACTTTTGTTCCACTGAAGACCATAACAATACAAAATTAGAAATATAAGCCTGGATAAAGTGTGGAAGAAAAGATTTTTTACAATAAAAAAGGAAAATAATGTTTATAAAAAAGTTAAAAATATATTGTTAAACTGTTTATAATAATAATATATATATACGTATATAATTAATAAATGTATTAGGGGCAAGCAGTAAAGGTCATATCATCTTTTAAAATACACTTATATAGGCGCTGCTTAGTTAGCGCAACGCACAAAAACTCGTAGCGCAAACTTCAAAAATTTTTTTCTCAAAAACATCAAAAAGCAATTCTTTAAAAATTTAACCACTTATTAAGGCAGGTTTAAATTTTGAGAAAATAATTTTTTTAGGAAACTCCATGATGTCCTTAGCATATTTTTTAACAATAAAAAATTATTGTTTAAACAAATTATTGAAAATTTAATTTTTTTTAACTTTTTTTTAATATTATAAAAAATTGACATTTATTTATTTGTTTTTAGTTTCCGATTTTTCAAATCTAAATATCTTGCAAAAAAAAATTTTTTTTGCAAAACTGTTTGACACAGTTATTAAGTACCCCAAATACTACAAAATTACAAACTTTAAGAAAAATCGGTGATCCACCATTTACTTTTCGTATGGAACTGCCCTTGATATAAAAATTTTAATTTGTAATATATCAAATAAATAGTTATTTGTAGTAGTGATGCCGCGAGAGTTCTCTCGTCCATGCAAAAAGTCAAGACGAGACGAGAATTTACGTGTTATCGTCTCGTCTCGCGGCATCACTAATTTGTAGCAAATTCGAATTATTTAAGTCAAATGAATGGAATAATTGGATTTAATAAATATTGCTTTAAATCAATTAGGAAAATTACTTGATTCAGTAATGCATGGATTTTAATTCAAATAAATATTTATTTGCATCAATAAAATAATTTTTTTTAAATAACTAAATATTTATGGGACATTCCGCACGTCAACACGGACAGAGCTCTAAACAAAAATTGCTTTGATAGATTTAAACGTTCTAGGGCTTAAAAGATTTCTACATTCATGTACTTTAAGTTGGTGATGGGCGTTTTTTGCAAATTTTCATTTCCGATGCCAATAGAGCTGTCAAAAGTCAAATGGTCCAAAAAATTCAAAATACTTTTATGAATTAAAAGCAAAAATTGGACAAGTGCGAGTTGTACTCGCACTGCAATGGCGGGTTCCGTACACAAATATTGAAACAATACTTGCAACATTTATCCGTAATTAGTAGAATTAAAATAAACAATTGAAAAAATATATTAAAATCATTTGATAAGAAGAAATAACTAAAAAAATTAAAGTATTGTATATCTAATATTGTAAACAATAATAAGCAGAGGAACAAAATTTTCAAAATTATAGTTCCTCTGCTTATTATTGTTTACAATATTAGATATATACAATACTTTAATTTTTTTAGTTATTCTTTTTTATCAAATGATTTTAATATATTTTTTTAATTGTTTATTTTAATTCTACTAATTACCGATAAATGTTGCAAGTATTGTTTTAAATTGTTTCTCGAGCGCTCAGAATGCTGGGCTTTGTTATGAGAGGTGCCTCGGATTTTCGTAACAAAGTTGCAATTATAAAGTTTTATATTTTACATTAGTGAGATCCATTTTGGAATATGCCTCTGTAGTCTGGGTACCACTCTATACTTTCAATATAATTAAAATAGAGCGTGTTCAAAACAAGTTTTTAAGATTTGCTGCTCGGCAACTCAATTTACCTTTTGACTGGAACACCCATGATTACGGTAACTTACGATCCACTTTACACATCCCATTGCTTACATCTAGGTTCTTATACAATGATATGCTTTTTTTCTATAAGTTATTGAATGGATTTATTTACTGTCCTTCTTTGTCAAATCTCATAAGTTTGCGTGTTCCGACTAGATTCACTAGAAACAATCATTCGTTTTTTGTAACTTATTATAAAACTAATTTTGGTAACTTCTCAATACTTAATAGACTCCATAGAGAGGCAAACAATGTATCTTGTAATATTAATTTTTTTGAAAATAATCTTTTGAAATTTACCTCTCAACTACGACAAAATCAATTGTACTTAAATTTGTAACGCACGCCTAACTTTTATAATGCCAATTTCGTATAATTA